TTTTTTTTTTTTTTTTTTTTTTTGCTGGGACCTTACCTGGTCCCTGCACGGCCGGGCTGCCCGGGAAAACAAGGTGACCCGGGCGGCCCGACTGGTAGCCTACATGTAGTCAAACTAATGACTAAGAATGAAAAAAAGGAAGGGAAGCACGGAGACATTATCTGTTTCAGTGACAAAACAGAAGTCCCCCGAAAAAAAAAAAAAAACCTTGAGCTTATGTTTCGACGAAGATAATGGGTTGATGAAAGTTCAGGGAAGCAGGCTGGCGCAGTTCTTTTTTTGTTCTTTTTTTTTCCCCGGGGAAGATATAACAATACAATTACAAAAAATAGCAATGAGGTCGGGGACCTCACATGAACGCCGGACCCGTTTCACGGAATTACAAAAAATAGTTTTGTCCTCCATTTACAACGAGCCCGGTGAAAAGAAAAGAGGTAAGTCGAAAAAAAAAAAAAARAAAAAAAAAAAAAGAAAGAGGTAAGTCCGTTTGATTCACAAAAGACGTTTGAAAGGGCCAAAAAAAAAGACGCAAGCGGGCCAAGACACAGAATATACGCGCCGGACCCGGAAGGGCGATGAAAGCACCGCGCACGTCGTGGTCCAGGGCGGGTGTCATACTAACCACAGGGGTCGGCCGTGGTGTCAGACGGGGGGGGGGGGGGGGGAAGAAGATGAATGAAAAATTACCAACGGCGGAGCGCCGCACTGCCATTACCCTTTTGAGTTCGTGGCCGCACTTCTTTTATCCCGTTTGTGTTTTTTTTTGCCTTTGCAGTTGCAAATCGTGCCATTACTGCACTTGTTTAAATGGCACTTGGTTAAAAAATACAATAAAAAATAAAGAGTGAGTGCCCAAGGCTTCTGCTTAACTTGTAGAAGGGGGGGGGAGAGCCAATAGGTATCGGGCATGCTTCTGCATTTGAGATTCCTGGGCCCAAGTCCCGCAGCTGGATTCATCGCATCTGGCCGTTGATCTTCATGCTCCTGCAAGATCCCTGGGCCCAAGTCCCGCGGCTGGATTCATCGTATCTGGCCGTTGATCTTCATGCTGATGCATTTGAGATCCCTGGGCCCAAGAACCACGACTGGATTCATCGTATCTGGCCGTTGGCATCCTTTGTGATGACAGAAAGAGTGGCATTTCCACGGGTCCACCCACAAGTGAGTTTGAACTTCTGAACTTTTTTGTCACCCTTTGCTCCCCTTTGCCACCGTTTGTCACCCTTTGTCACCGTTTGCCACCCTTTGCCACCCTTTGCCGCCCCTTGCCGCCCATCACCACCCTTTGGCAGCCTTTGTGGTCACAAAAGAGTGGCATTTCCAGGGCTCCACAGGTGTGTTTGTCACCCTTTGCTCCCCTTTGCCACCCTTGGCTACCGTTTGTCACCCTTTGCCACCCTTGGCCACCCTTTGGCACCCTTTGCCACCCCTTGCCACCCATCACCACCCTGTGGCACCCTTTGGCAAAAGAGTGGCCTTTCCAGGGGTCCACAAAGGTGCGCAGATCACCCTTTGTGATCGCAAATGACCGCTCACCCTTCATGTATGAGGTAAGTTTAAACCCCTATATGCTTTTTTTGAGGGGGGTGCTGGGGAGGTGGGGGAGGGAGGTGTTGGCAATATTTGAATAAGCTTAAAGATGATGGACGCAGGTACGAAGGTTGCAGTGCTTGTGTTGTTATAAAACACTATACTCATTTTCGGCCTGTCCTGTTTCTCTCTTTTTGGTTGCTTGTTGATGGATCAGAAACCAAAGTGGAAGATCACAGAGGTGCGCAGATGGGAGATGGTAGTGGAGTCGGAGCAGTTGTTGGAGTAGGAGTAGTTGTAGGAGGAGGAGGTGGTCACAAGTTGAGTGCAAGCACGAGTGCCAAAGCTCTGAAGCTTACCGTTAATTTCCAAGAGGATGAAGCGAAGGCTATTGACGACTTTTTCCTTGTGCTGGCTGTCTGCAACACCGTCATTCCCGCTCGAGGAGGAGGGGATTTGGTGGTACCCGGAACGGGAGGACAACCGGTCAGGAATGTGAACCAGAAGCAGAAGCAGAAGCAGAAGCAGAAGCAGAAGCAGAACCAGGACCAAGACCAGCTCTCGAAGCAGACCGGGAACCAGAGGACGATCGGTTGTCTGCAGAATGGTTATGGAGGACAAGTCATCGATTACGAGGGTGAATCACCCGACGAAGTGGCGTTGGTGAGGGCGGCGGCTTTGCATGGCTATGTGCTTGTGCAGAGGACGGCAGAGTTCATTCTTCTGGCTGTTTGCGGTGAAGTGCGCAGGTACGCAGCAGCATAATGTATCGCTGATTTCTCTCTGATTCTTCTTGTACTGCCAACGTCCTTGTTGTTTTCTTTTGGTTTTCCTTTGGAAAAAAAAACCGATGACGTTGAGATATCATTGTGAAACTCCTGACAGGCCCTAGGTAATTGAGAATTACAATAGAGATAATTTTCGATTGAATCATCTTACTAAAAAAAATGTCCAAAAACTACTTATAAAATCTATGAATCTCCACTTATTTGATTTCATTGAAATTTGAAATTCACTCATCTGGTTCAGCTGGGTTTGAAGTTTGAACACAGGTATGTATTTCATTTCAACGGTTCATGGCTGTATTAACCGACCTGGGAACGTCCTTGTTTTCAATTTGTTCCCCGACCCCCCCCCAAAAAATGGGAAAAAGAGACCAGATTTCCTTGCTGTTGATTAGATCGATTCATGTATCTTCTGTTAACCTGCCAGTGTGTGCAAAGGCGATTTTGAATTTTCACCTGAAAATTCATTTCCCCCCCTTCGAGTATGTACCAAACCCCAGCCGCAGGCAGGCATCGTGTACGTACCCAACCGGAGGCAGGCAGGCAGGCAGGCAGGCTGATGCATGGAAAAAATGTGCCCGGCTTGTGCATGACCGCATGTTTCAGTTCGCGTTGGAGGCGCTCATGGTTTACCATTTTCTATGAACTTTCACTTGATTGTCGTCCTGTCGACCTCCTTCCTCGCCCTCCTTTTTTCTTTCTTTCTTTCTTTCTTTCTTTTCTTCTTTTTTCTTTTTTTCCGGAGAGCGGCATCGACCTTGATATCTCATTTTAAAACTGACCAGCCCGCAGGTAATTCAGAATTGGATTTCATTCATCGGGTTCCATCTCTCTCTCTCTCTCTCTCTCTCTCTCTCTCTCTTGCTTTTTTCTTTTTTTAAACTACTCAGTCTTCACTCATATACCTCAGTCTACCTGCCGACCTACATATATGTCCACTTTTTTCCAGGGGATGCTCAAGGTTATGAGTTGAGTTTCCTATTCTGTTCTATGGGGGGAGCAGTCCCCGGGCTTCTAACACCTGGCATGAGCTGGAAAGCCACACAACTTCCACAACCAGCCAGGAGGGCCAAGCCAAATATCTCTGTGGGTGAACCCGAAGCGCATCACAGGGGGCGGTGGGGGATCAAATGGACGATGTGGGGAATCGAACCCACGGCCTCCTGAATACCACCGTGCGTGCTCAACCAACTGAGCTAAAGGTCATGCCAGATTGTTGCAATGGTCAAGTTTAGAAACCATGATCCAGGCTGTAAAAACTGGCCTGCTTCACATCTCTCTCTCTCTCTCTCTCTCTCTCTCTCTCTCTCTCTCTCTCTCTCTCTCTCTCTCTCTCTCTCTCTCTCCAACCTTGTATACAGTCTCTTTCTCTCTCTGGATGTGTTGTTATGCAGGTACTGTTACTGTAGCGAGTCTATGGAACTGCATGTATGACGGGATTCAGTGAATGCAGTGTTATTGTGGTGCAGCGGTACTCCAGATGTAGAAAGTGACCAAAGTCGATGGCGGCCGTGTTACCCTGTCTGTGTGTTTGTGTCCTTTGGAATGCACAGACAGAGTAACACGGCCGTGTTGATTTTTTATAAAAAAAATAAAAAAATAAATTATGTTTTGTTTGTTTGTTGGTGGTGCACCTATCTTCTGTTTTGTTTGTTTGTTGGTGGTTGATAGTGCCGTGTTGATTTTTTATAAAAAAAAATGATAATAAATTCTTAGGTAGACTGTTTATGGCGGTTGATAGTGCCATGCTGATTTTTTATTAAAAAATAAAAATAAAAAAATTCTTAGAAGACTGTTTACGGTGCACAACATTGTTTGAGAAGAAGAGAGACCCAGAAGGGCCAAAACCAAGACTCGGAATGAATGAGAAGAAGAAGAGAGCCCTTGCGACTGAACGGAACGGCGTACATATGTAACTGATGATGAACAGATCATGAGTTCGAATCCTGGTGGAAGCATATGGGTCTGATAATGTTAAGCGCTACCCTCTCTCCTCGACAGCTCCTTCACACTTTGAAGCAGTGTTTGCTGCATAGTCGACAGTTCTCTACTCGGCTGCTAAATGGTAACCGTACTAGAGTTAAACGGTAACCATAGTGGTATAACTGTAGTATAGTTACCGTTTAACTGTAGTACAGTTACCATTTGACTTTAACTGTAGTATAGTTACCATTTAACTGTAGTATACTATACTACAGTTAAACGGTAACTATAGTAGTATAACTGTGGTATAGTTACCGTGTAACTGTAGTATAGTTATTAGTTACCATTTGACTGTAACTGTAGTATAGTTACCATTTAACTGTAGTATAGTTACCATTTAACTGTAGTATGGTTACCATGTTACCATGTTTTAGCTTGTTAAACTCATCAGCTGGGTAGGAGGTTAAACAAGTGAGTGTGAAATTCAGCTGCCTTTTGACCGATGATTGGTACCACGAACGACTGATGTAAGTTCACCGTGTCCTGACACTTGCCGACTGCCGTCTTTCCCCATTTGATTGGACCACGCCCTCCCCTTGGCCCTCCTTGTCCCCACCCCATTCCTTGCACTCCCCAACTTCACTTCACCAGCAAACTGCACCAGATCTTCAAACTGCGACCGCCCCCCTGATGTGTGTGCATTGCTCTTCTGTTTTGTTGCTTCGCCGTACATCAACACAGCATGCCAACTGGGATGGGCAGCTGTGGAGATAAGGGTGCAGGGTTCTCCGCACAAAAGGCGATCCTGGTCGGCGGCCTGTGTTGATGTATTTGGCGACGGTGATTGTACGGTTTCGCAGGTTCGGAATCCTCGGCCTTCATGAGTTCGACAGCACGAGGAAGCGGATGTCGATCGTTCTCAAATGTCCGGATGGGACGGTGAAGGTTCTGTGCAAAGGTGCCGACGCGTCTGTGCTGCCCCTTCTGCAGCCATCAAATCTAGACGGCGATGACCGAGAGCAGCCTTCCACTACGGACACCGTCGACAGGTCGTTGGACGGGAGAGTGGAAGCATTGGAAGCGCCAACTCTGACACAGCTGACATGTCAGCATTTGGACGAGTACGCGGGGAACGGGCTTCGCACTCTCATGGCAGCGTCGAAAACCTTTAACGGCGCGGAGTACGCTGAATGGCTTAGCAAATTTGAGCTGGCAGGAAGAGCAATCGACGGTCGCGCAAGGTTGCTTCGGGATGCAGCTGCGTCCGCGGAGCGGTATTTGACGTTGCTAGGAGCTGTGGGTATCGAAGACAAGCTGCAGGAAGGGGTTCCTGAGACGATCGCGCTGCTGCGAAGTGCTGGGATGAAGGTCTGGATTCTCACAGGGGATAAGCAGGAGACGGCGATCGCGATCGCATTCTCGTGTCGGCTTTTGATGGAAGATATGACGCAGATTATCGTCAATGAGAAAACAAAAGAGGGCTGCAAGAGGGCACTGTTGGAAGCCAAAGCTGTGGATGCAGAGCTGAAGCATTCCACGGGGGAGGTTCGTCCCATGGACTATGGCGGTGGAAAAAACCGCAAGCACCTCGCTCTTATCATCGACGGGGACAGTTTGGCGCATGCCCTGGACGAAGATCTTGAGCACCAGGTAGCCTTCCATGGGATTTCCCCCGCCCACCCCCACTCCTTTACCCCAACTCCCCGGCCCCCAAATCCCCTGACGCCCCGACTTGCCGACAGCCCACCCCCCAACCCCGAAATGAAGTGGATGACTTTATAATATGTTTTGTGTCGCTTGGACTCGCTTTGAAATTTTCTTTGTGGCTGTCTGTGCTTATCATATCACATTCCTTTCGAGCTCATCATTCGAGCTCATCATTCG